ATCCATTCGATCATTTCTCCAGCAAGAATTTTATGGCTCAAACAAATCTTGTTATAAATTTAATCAAGCATAAAAATCGCATATGAATTCCGATATTAAACATTGACATATGACTTGTTATTCACTCAGAGACGAGAACATCAAAGGTAAAGATATTACTTTGATTAATTCTTTAGAATGATACTGTCCTCATGAAATTTTAATACGCATTTCCATAGGTACATACATTTCAATTTATCAATTTTTCAATAATTTATTGGAAATAGCAGCTGAATATTCTAATATTTTATTGAAAATAACAAATACTAAAACAAACTTCCTACTTTTTCTCCTTTTTCTTTTTAAATTGGGACAAACTTCATTACAAATTGATGAGACATTCCTGTAAAGCGAGAGGTAAAAGAAATTAAGTGTATTTCATTTAAAAATAAATCGTTTTATTTGAAATTCGTTTGTTTATGAATTTTTTTTATTTGCATTTTCTCACTTTACAAAATGAAAATTCTTGTTGAACAAAAAAAGGAAATGTGTAACACGAAGAAAAAAATTGGAAATTGAATAATACCAGTAAATAAGAAGAGTTTAGTTTAATATGGGGCTATTGTAATATTATTAACAATTTTTAGTTTCATGTTGTCTTATAGGATTCTTCAGTTTAACTAAGGTTATTCTTATTAAAGTTAATTTAAAAGTGAATATTTCTTCTCTTCCTTAACTAACTTTCATTTAATTTTACCAAGAAAAAAGAACAAGAAGTATGATTTTAATGGTAATTTAGGTTGATCTAGTTTAATCTGATTTAATGGATCACTTAAAAATCAATATTAAATTTTTTATTAACATTGAATTTTTTCCTTCAAGCTTTCCAGAAAAATTGAAATGTTTTCCGGAAACAATTCACTTTCAAATAGATTTTTTTACTTATTTATCGAGCTGATAGTTATTTGATACTTCCGATTTTGTTTTTACATCAAACAAATCAAGAAGAATAAATTTTTGAAAGTTTTTATTACTATTTTTATAATTTTATCTTTAATGAACATCAGCAAATACATAAAGCAAAAGTATTTAAGACAGAAAAAGATAAATTAAATTATCCAAGGTATTTTTGTCAAATTGGAAAAAGGAAAAACAAATATGTTGTAAAAATGAATAGCATACATAGACTGTTGTGTTAGAATATATTTTTTTTAACCATTAAGTTCAAGAATCTATTGTATTTTCATTGGAAAACTTTGTTCAAACTGAAGTATTGCGCAATTTAAAATTGAAGTATTTTCAAATTAAAAAGCAATTTTTTTAATCGGAAAAGAGAAAAAATAAGCTAATATTTCACAACTACCAACAATATATTATTAATCTAAATGAATAAAATTGGTGCTTTTCATTTTATTAGAAGGAAAATTAATAAAACTGTGAAGATCATAAATTAAAAATATCAACATCATCATAATATAATTAACAATTTATTGTGATACAATTAAAAACTGATAATGTTGTTAAGATCACTGATGAAAAATATTAATATCATCATAATATAGCAATATCAAATTAGCATCTATATAAACAAATAATTTAAATTGAAATAGTTAATAGTTAATTATGTTATAAAAAATATTATAAATGAAAAATATTGACAACATCGTAATATAACAATACAAATTAATACTAGGAAAAAATGGTAAAGAATAAAATAGCAAATCAAAAGATATTTCGTTTAGTGATTGCAAATAAATTTCAGTATATATGTACATTTTATCCATATATTTAAGATATTTCATGAACTGAAAATCTTATCAATGAGTTTTGCAAATAAAGAAACTATTATTATTGTAAATTGACCACATAATTTTGTTAATTAAAAGCAGCATAGCAACAATAAAAAAGAGGCTAGCTATCACTTCTTATCATGTAATTTATATCAATCATATTACTAACTGATAAAGAAAGTTTTATTTTATTTATACAGATACAAATCTGCTATATTGATCATATTCTTCTTGTTGCCTTACTAAAAATTTTACTTTATTGTATTGAATAAATTTTTGTTAAACAAAATTATTTTATTCAGTACGATGATAATGAATTGCGAGAAGCATGGAAACGAAGTAATGCGGAACTTATCAACGGACTAATTGGAATGGATTTGGGAAAATTGGCAAAAGCTGGTAAAAGGAGCATGTCAGCAAGCGATGAAAGCATCAACAACAGTCAACGATTTAAAATAGATTGGAGAAAATTATTATCAAATCAGCGTCAATATCACTATTAATTGTATACGCTTATCTGTTTACAATTATTAATCTGCAATATCATCATTAAATCGTGAAATATATTGAATTAATCAAATAATTTTTCCCACTACTCATCTTTCATTCCAAATTGCTAAATATTTGTTTAAAAAATTAACTAAATGAAATTGATCATGTAATACCACCTATGAGCATCGATAGTAGTTGATAAAATTATTTGTCAAATAATGGTATGAAGTTATCATTTTAACTATAAATATCAAATCGAATGATGGTTTTAGTCTTCAATGTCAAGATGAACTGATAAAACAATGACATAATGAAGAGGTGACAGTGAATCATACTTTTACATATTTAAATTTAACCGAAAACATACTTGAATTTAGTTGATGAAATTAGTCATATCTGTTGCTACGTAATCTTGCTTAATTAGTATTAATCAAGATTACATAATAACAAAACATGATAAAATAGTATAGTAACAATAAATGATGGATAAATCAAAATATTAATTCTAATTAATATATTGTATTATTATAGTTTGTTGCAGTTAAGTTATTCCGTTATATGATAGAAGTGCATTCAATTCAGCAAACATTTAATTATTTTGTTTTTAATTTAAAAAATGTGATAATGCAAGCAAGAATTAAAAATGAATGAGATAATAGACAGATTTCTATTAAATAGATTAAAATGAATAGGTTGAATTAAAATAGGCTGAATTAATAAAAAGATTGTAATTGAATTGAGAAAATGAACAAATTATTAAAAAAAATGCAAGAAACAATGTTTAAATATAATATTTAATACAATATATTTTCTAGAATAATTAATCTAAATCAATTTTCATTTAAAATTTATGAATATATCATAAAAATTACTAATTGTAGTCAATAATCAAATTTTTGCATGACATCACATAAAATTGTCGTAATTATTCTGTTTATCAAATAGTAGTAACATATTTTGATATCTCACTCGTAACTATTATTATATCATTATTTACAGTTAATTATATAAATTTAATTGAAGAAAAAACTAAGACTTAAAACACATTGACCAAAAAATATTTCATCTTAATTTTTCAACTTTTAAAAATCGTTTTTTCTTTTCGCTGATGAAATGAATAAACATGTGAGAATATCCATTCTTAGTCATATAAAGTATCATTAAAATTTACTTTATAAAACCTGTGTGATAATATGATACGATGCCATATTCTATAAAGAAGTATCATTATTAGTTATTATTATTATCATTATTGATTATTACTTTTCTTTAATAATAATAATAATGATAAGTAGTAGTAATGAATTATTGTTTATTATTATTACTTATTATCATTATTATTATCAAAGGAAATTAAAAAAGCAATGCATATATTACTTTTTTTTAAAATTTTATCTGATTTCTCATCTATTCCTAATCTATAATTAAAATCTCCCCTCCTTTGTGTCAAGAAAAAGAATCAATTTAATCTAGAACTTGGCAATTTCATTACTTTTCTTTCCTCCAATCAAATTGCATCATTTAATGGATGATTTACGGATAAATTTGCTCACATCATTTAGCTTTTTATTTTTTGTTAAAATATCTTGCAAAATATTTTGGTAAATCGATTCATTTTAAAATTCCTACTAAAATAATATATTCAAATTTACTAGATTTAAAATCAGATATGATAGGAATTAGGAGAAAAAGGAAAAAGAAACTGTGCTAAGAGAAAATAGACAACGAGGAAAGATAAATGAGAATAATATGATCCAAAAATCTAATAAAAAAGAATTGTCACAAAATATTTTAAAATTACACTATATTTTAGCATTATAATCCTAATAACAATTGTTGAAGAATATTAAGATATATAAAAAAAGAAAACGAAAGGAAAGGATCAAATAAACCGGAAACATAAGATCGAAAAAAAAAATGTTTGGATTCAATCATACCATAAATCAGAAACGGTTTGATCATTTTTAACTATATATATATAGAGATTGCATTGTTCAATAATATAATATGGAGTTGTGTAAGACAGGCATAAAAGTATGGTCATACCGCATGCTTTAATTTTGCAAACAAACATTAATATTCATTATTAAATTGTTACTGTAATTTAAAAAATGCTGTGATAAAAGAAGCGTTGTTTCATGGAATGTATGAACTGCAGCGTTACTTTGATCAGAATCAAGATATCTCTGTTTTTGACAGTAAGCAAATATATAGTTTTGATGTGTGATAACAAAGTATAGGTAAGAGTAGACTTTATTTCACTGATCATTAAACTGATTTCATTCAATACAGTCGTTTCAGAAACCTGTAAGTCTATCATTTTTTGAAACAAACATAACGAATATGGAAATGTATGCATCACAACAGAACTTTAAAAGAAGGAAATGTCCCCTGAAAAAAATTATGATCTATTTTGACTTCCGCAGAAAAATTGAACTCAGTATCAAAAAAGAAATTAGAATATAGCGTTTAAAAAATATCCATACTTTCTTCTTTTTTATTACCTTTCCATTATTCTCTTGTTAGTAATACAAAAGCAACAATCATAAGTCAATTATATAATGTATTTTACATATTATTAACAAACTTTAGTGAACAATAATTTTAATTCAAATTATGGAAACTTTTACTACCTAAATCTGTTCTTGAAATAGGTTGAAAAGTTCATTTGTCCCCAGATTTAATAACAGTAGACAAAGTTGACCCTAGATCAATTGAAACAGAAAAAAATAGAGCATTTCAACATATCTGATATATTTTTGGTTTGTTGATATAACGAAAGGTTCGTTTACCAAACGTACCACGCGAAAACTTATGTCGTAATCGTCGTCGCAGTGGAACACCAACCTAAAAATCTAACATAGAGACTAACGTCTGTAACATTTTAAACTTCGAAATATTAGGAACAGATTTGTAAAAAAATGATACTTACATTGTTTTAGAATTTTAATAAATCAAAGAAAATATGCTGGTATAAATCTAATTTACAAACATATTTAAACTTCAATTCAAAATTATAAACTTAAACCGTCCAAATCAGAGCTTAAAATACCGTAAAAGAAAATACATTTTTCTTTTTATGTATGCACAGCCGTTCTAGAAGTTTCATTTATCTTACATCAAAAAAAAGTTAGTGAACAATACACAAAATCCTTTACTACTTACCACCGCTTCAATTTCCTTTTTGTACCTCAAAGCCACTTCTTCTACGTTGATCGGTTCCTGTTCCTTCTCCAGATCAACAAATTTCAAGACGACGCTGCAAAAAAGAAACAACCTCTTAATCATCCAGTGATTGTAATGTGAAGCGTTCTAGGAAACCACAAACAGCAAATTTTTTAAGTACAAATGTGTTACCGGTATAAGAATAACTATCAGATGAATTGACTTTCTCGATCATTTCATTTATTCATTTGTTTTTCGAGAAATGTGATGTATTTAAAATTGCTTTCTCAGCATTAACTGTTCTATGCAATGCATTCTATCATCTCCTGCACTTATTTAATTCCAAGACTAGTCCAAACAATTCACCGGTGTATTATTGTATTGAATGAAGCCTAAAAAAAGAAAAGCTACCAAGCTTTAGCAAAAATGTTACCTAGAACCACAAATTTCTTGCAGAGAATAATGTGGCTTGTTGAAGCAGTCGAGATCACTGAGAGAATCAAGCTCATTAAATGAGAACTTCCTATCTGCTGTAACTCCCCAACATCGCATTAACGCATCCATAGCGGCCATATCGACTGCTATAGATATTGTTTCTCCAGGACCTTTAAGATATTTTGTCAAAAATATAAAAAATATAATAAAAAACTTTATAAACAATTACATGGCTACTTGAATCCATAATAGTAATGAAAAAATAAAATAATAAAGTTTCCAAAAACTCCATTATTTTTTTCACGGAGCTTTCATTATGAATCATTCCCCTGCAAGCGAGCTAATTGACCTGATTCTTTTTTTCCTCCAATCTTTTCACATTTATCCTTATTACAAACAATTAAGTATCGGCAACATCAGAGAACACGCGAAAAGCAAAGAATTTAAAGATTACAGTGGTACCGTAAATCAACAAAAGCATAAAATATGTTATTAATTTCTTTGCTTTGCGCTTATTGCCCTTGTAAACCTGTCACTTCTAAGGGTCAAAAAATGGCATGTAGAAAGCAGTTGTCGTTTTTTCACGGTGACCAACTGACCTGATACTAGCTAAGAAATTTGAAATGAAGACCATCTTACGAGAATTCTAATAGATGGTCATCAACCCAAACATCCTTTCCGACCACTATCAATAAGTCGGTAAATAAGCCACTGTAAAAGATACTGGCTCATATCTACATCAAATATCGACTACTTACTTTCAGCACCATAACCATAACAAAAATTTTTGTTTTCATTAAACCATATAAAAAGATTTCAAATAACCTACAATAATTTTAAGTTAAATTTAAGATTAAAAACAAAAACTTAGCGGTCGAATAAATCGATTTATACTAATTTATTATCGATTTCAATTATTACAAACATTATTATCCTAAACTACCGTCAACATCTCACATAATATATTTTCCATGAAACTGCTCAGTAGGACTGTATATTACTTCAAACACTCTTAGCATGACAAAGATATATCCATTTTCTCTTCAAAAAGTGGTGAACTGCTGTAAATAAGTTTGGATATCAAAAAAAATTTTTCAGTTTAGGATAAATACCAAAAAGCTGTTTTACTTTGTTCGGTTCTAGATAATCAGTTTCTTAGAAAAGGAAGCAAAAAGATTTCTTGAGGCTCAATGATCAATTTCAAATTTTACAATCAGCATTAATCATCCAAAAAGACAAAAAAGGTTCAGAATTAGACACTATAAATTCATAATTTTTTGAGGCAATAACAGACATTGCCGAACAAAAACGGAATATATAGAAAAATTTTTTGCAACTAATAAGAATCATAAACGACGATGAAATATAGAATTAAATACTGGAACTGAAGTTTCGAAGTCTTACCAGACATGCTCTTCAAAAACTACCATGAATTTACACGTGATGGAGAAAAAATGAAACTCCATGTTAAAAGTTATACTGTACAAATGCAAAAATTAATGTGTCGATTTATGTTTCTCATTGTCAAGCACTTCCACATCTTTATTTTTGCATGAATTTTGCAGCACTGCCAACTGAATTCTATATCAAAGTCGGCTGTTTTAATCACTTGTAAAAGTTAATAAAATTGTGATCATAAAACATGGGAATAGTGAAGCACAATGAGCTTGCAATAAGCTACCATATCCCAATATCTCAACAGTTTCGTTTGTGATTATGCAATGGGATGTCCTCACCTTTTCAGTGACATATACAAAGCCTACCACAATGTTCGATTCTCCCAGATTATAACCATTCTATTGCATTATTCATTGGATCATTGATGCCGCACATATATTTCCTATTTTATTTTATTTCCTTTTTTTTATTTTATTTTTTTT